ATATATATATATTCTTTATTGTACAAAGAAAAGAAACATGAAACACACGTTACAATGGACATATACAAAGGTGAGCTTATCTCTATAAGAGATCTCTTCCTGCCAACCCTAGCCGTGGTGCAAAAATGAAGTCTGCGGGACTAATTATTGTACAACAAAATTAAAATTTAAATGTGAATAAAATATAAATGATAATAATATACATTGCGACGCGTCGCAATTGATTTATTTGGAATTGATTTCAATTGAATTGATTTTTTAATCTGATTGAATTATTGATTGAAATTTAATTGATTAACGCCCAACACTGATCTCAACATTCCCTATAAATTAATTAAAGTTTCCATTAAAAATAAAAAAACAAAATGGATCACTAAAGGTGTCAGAAAAAGCTGTAAAACTAAGAGAATATTGCGTTACCAATATTACACCGTAAAGTTAGATATTAAAAAGCAACAATATCGGTTGTACTCCAGCTCAAAAGTTACGCATCAACAAACTTATAAAAAACGCAAAAAAAATAAAGCAAAACATCTTGGAAAATTGTGAAAAACGATTTTAATAATATTAATAGTGATCAGGTCATAAATGAAATTATAATAAATGATAGTACTATAACTGACCCTGTCTGTATAGCCAATGAAGTTAATTATTATCTAAAAAATTTAAATAACTTAAACAAAAAATTAACACAAAACACAAATAAAATTCACTTGTCCAATAATATTTATATCCAACCTTTAGATTTCAGAGAAATACATAGTATAATGAAATCATTAAATAGTACAAATTCAACAGGATATGATGATATATCGACTCGAGTTGTCAAATATTGTGCAACTGAGCTGTCTGAACCCCTCACTTATTTAATTAATCTGTCATTTCAAATTGGCACCTTTCCAGATTTGCTTAAAATGTCAATTATTACGCCTATACATAAAAAGGGTACAAAATCTGACATGGCCAATTACCGTCTCATAGCATTAGTTCCCGTGCATTCCAAAATTTTTGAGAAAGCAACGAAAACGAGGCTTCTCGACTTTGCTTCCAAATACAACTTAATAAAATCAGAACAATTTGATTTCCAGCAAAATAAGTCTACGTCCTTGGCAGTTTTCCATCTGGTACAAGAAATAGTCGTAAATGTGAATAATACTACATATATACCTACAACTGGTATATTCTTTGATATGACCCGCACCAATGCGCGATCAATACTTCGTATCCCATGACTTACTTCTCCAAAAATTAGAAAATCTTAGTATTAGAGGATTGGCTCGGGAGTGGTCTTAGGTCGGGGATCTTATCTATGTAAAAGAAGGCAAGCGGTGGAAAATAGGACTCTGAATAAGGATTCTCACGTGGTGTCTAATAGGCCCTTATATAGAGTGAATGCATACGGCGTGCCTCAAGGTAGCATGCTTGGACCACTACTTTTCCTACTATACATAAACGACCTACCTGGTGTAACGTGTCATAAATGCATTTTATTCGCGGATGACTTATCCATAATTAGACCGTATAAGGAAAATATAAAAAGTATGAATTTGACATTAACAATACAATTGCACTAATAATTAATTGGCTAAATAATAATGTTTTCACAGCGAATTTTAACAAGACAAACTTTATTCAATTCGAGACGGTTAGACACAAAAAGTTGAAACTAAATGTACTCTATTACAGACTTCTTTCATATAAAGCCCTTCAAATTTGACTGTAAATCTAATTGATTTGACCTACAATGAAATGAATTCATTATATTATTATTATTATTATTTTTACTTCTGCATGACATGACAATAGCTTACAACTTATAACTTGTGTAATCAATAACTCTAGTTACATTACTAGAATTAGCTTCAGATTTATAAAATATGTAAAAAAGAAAGATATTTGTAATGTAATAAAATTTGCATGCCAGTTTTAGTAAAATATGAAAACTGTTACAATACACCACCTTTTGTAAGACATATTTTATGCAAATAAATATGAATCAATCAGTCGTCGTCGTCATGCGTACAGACGCGATCGGAAATTCGCGGGAAGGCGATTCGTTGCCGATCCGTTGCGAGCCGCGTTCGTTCGAACATTGGCATATTAATTATTACTGATATTATAATATTTAATAGTTTGACTTTCTTTAATTATTGCTATTATTTTAATGTATTGAAATAAAATTAGAACTTTAGCTCTTTTGTGCATGTCTACTGACATTATTTGTAATCTAATCAATTAATTCAATCACCATGAGTATAATTTTGCAATAGACGTGGTAAAATATGAGATCTATTTCTCTACTGTATTCCATCTCTTGTTCACCATATTTTAAGCAAATAAATTTTCATTTCATTTCATGACCCGGAATTTAAATTTTATGCACTGACTTGACTCTAATCTGATATGACCCATCCAAGACGAGGCTTAATACCTTTAAACTAATTAATGGATTGAAGACTTGGCGTATGCCTATTTTTATTAAAAAGAAGAAGAAAAATTTACTAAGACGTGGCTGTATGGTATGCAACCTTGGCCTTTTCCTTCACGGAAAAAATATAAAAAACAACAACATCCAACTTTTGCTCAAATGTTATAATTATTCTTTTCCGTTTTATCTCTTCTATTTCTGTTGTTGATCACGTTATAATTTAAACGAAAAAGACTGTGCCGTCATCATGCCCAGATGAAGACTCACACCCGTACCGCTGCCATCGTAGTGAAGGGAGGAACGCGTGATTATTTCAATGTCATTTTGGTCAGGATAGCACAGGCAAAGAATTCCTATTGCCCTAAATACAGTCCATCTACAGCCGCGTGGTTCAGCCGCCTCACGCCACAGTAATTGTTTAGCAAAATTCATAATTAAATGAGATTCGGAAACGGAAGTTGTTGTTTTTTTTTTAAGTAGAGTTTTAACGGCTTTGGCATAATGCCATACAGCCTATTCTTCATTTTATTTTCTTCATTTTGGTTTCACTTTGTAAATAGTTTCAATCTTCATATGACTTCAAAAGTGGAAATGATGTAACTGTAAATAACTTCATAACGACGGAAGTTGTGAGATTACAGTGACAGTTATCGCTAGCGACCGCGTAAAATTTTTGTACACAAAATGTTGTTTCTTCTTGTGACCATTAGGAGCGTTGTATAATTTGCCACACAAAATTGTGAAGTGAACTACGCGGTCGCTAGCGACAACTGTCGCAGCAATTTGTGGTAGATGCAATAGTCATTGAGTTTATTCTGTCTGCCGCAGCTTACCTCTAGTACTTTTACTAGCAGTAGAGCTCCTTGTGAAAGAGTTCGTCCAGGGAAGTACCGCCACCTTATCTATTTCTGCCGCCAAGCAGTAATGTCAGCATTACTGTGTTCCGATTTTGAAAGGTAAGGGTGCTGGTGAAATTACAAGCACATGGGATTAGTCAACTTATGTCTCAGGGTGACGGACGCAGTGGCAGTGCGCTTCAGAGCTTACCATCACGCGCACGACTTGTTCGTCTCGTCACTTGATATTATAAAAAAAAACTATATTTAAATAGACACCGCAAGTACCGCGTTTGTAAGAGGCGCTATTTGGTGATAGGAAATCTCCATCAGCACTAAAGCGATTGATTAAATCGAAGACGCGGACGCAACACGTATTTAGAATAATGATTTTTCAAGTATTTGTTGATTACAAGAAACAGTGAAATATTAATAAAATAATACCCGAATAAGATAATTAAGTCCTTTATGAATACGTGTTTTGAATAAAAATGTTACTCCGGAAAACAAAAACAACAACAAACTTTATACAATCCGCAAGAACCATCATCACTTTGTTTCCTAAATCGATCAGAATCTAGAACTGTGTTGCTTCAAGTGAACATTACTAAGCGTAAAATTTTACCAAAAACATGTCGAAGTGGCCGTACGACGAAACTTTATGCATTATACGAAATTATCGTTCGTTCGATATTCATGGCCTATTGAAAACGGACCACGAATATACCGCATCAAGTAAAAGCCGCAATGTATTACGACATACACTCGTTTATATATTTGTTTTTTCGAAATCATTTAAAATGAAAATAATTGATTTTAAAATAAAATATGCATATTCTGTTTACAAAAGTACATAACTGTGGACGGAAACGTCCCTGTTTATTTATCTTCTCACAGCTGTGGTGGTTTTGCAGTTTCTAATGGCACAATTATACATTTTTCGCGTTTTGGACTGATGTATATCTACAATAATGGCCGTCCGCGTTCTGAAGCGTAGCAGCGGCAACTAAGCGTATGTTAACTGTAACTTACTTTGGGCACACGATTTGGACACAATCACACACTTGGGCACATTCTGTGACTTTAAGGATATAGTCGGAGGTATATTGAAAATACTTAGGCAGCAAATTGCAGTCTTAATGAGAAGTGTTGATGAAATTGAGACAAGACATCGCAGAAAGGCTGTTCTCTTCAATGGTGTGGAGGAGAATAAAGATGAAGACCTCCGTACATCTATCATTGAAATCACGCATAATAAGCTTGGTCTCACAAAGATTTCTAAGTTGGACATCACAAGTTGTTATAGATTGGGAGCAGCACCAGAAGATCGCCCACGGCCAGTTTTGGTTAGATTTGCTGATCTGTCCACGAAAGCAGAAATTTGGAGCAACAAAACCAAGCTGAAGGGGTCACCTGTGGCTATGGCGGAGTTCCTGACTCGTCATCGGCAGGAGGTGTTTGTGGCTGCGCGCCATCATTTTAGTTTCCGGAATGTATGGACCAGCGATGGAAACATTGTGTTGAAGCTACCGGATAGGAAACTGAACTGTGTGTTTGATAACCCGAATCTCAATAAACTGATTGATCGGTATCCGACTGCTGTTCAAAGTGACAAGACTGCGGCAACGGGGACAGTGTCAGAGGAGCTTGCAGCGCTGCCTGCAGCACCCAAGCTAGCGAGTATTAGACCCATGCGTGTAGTGAGAAAATAAGGATCGACTTCATATTCGCGGTTATAACACTGAACTTTCTTTCGTTTCCTCGTTATCATTTCCGTGATGTAGATACGGTACTTGAAGGAGGTATAACGCATTTATTTTGTATTTTGCGTTCCTCTTACTTTATACTACTGCTGTTGAAGGTATAACATTAATTTCTAGTTTTAATAATTTTGTTCTATTCTATTTCTATTTCCTTAATGTTGTTGTCAGCTTGGATAAGCGGTACGGGTGTCTTGGTGTGTTTTTGGATTTGGCTAAGGCCTTTTGATACTGTTTCGATACCCGACTTCTGCATAAGCTCCAGGCATTGGGACTGAGGGGCCTGCAGTTCAATATTTTTAAGAGCTTTCTCACAGGTAGGTCCCAATGTGTTAGAATTGGTGATTATACTAGCGTTTCCCAATCTATCACCTTTGGGGTCCCTCAGGGAAGTATTTTGAGACCTACTCTTTTCCTGGTGTATATTGATGACCTTTGTAATTTACAACTTCAATACTGTAAAATTTGATGAGATGAAGTTTATCAATCCGCTCAGTCGGGCTTTGACGTGGTGAGGGGGTGGCTAGAAGACAATCTGCTCACACTTAATGTGGACAAGACTAGAGTGGTGCCTTTTTCTATACGTAACCATACTCTACCGCAAAACTATCTTAAGTTTACTGTTATCTCCACCCAGGTGCCGGGATCTGAGGCTGTGGTTTTAAAAACTGTCAACAGCATAAAATATCTTGGTTTGCTACTTGACTCTACACTCAACTTTAGACAATACATACATCTACTGTCAGCGCGCATCCGTAAGCTAACTTATATTTTTAAAAGTCTTCGTCATGTGGCAGACACCAACATCATGAAAATGGTGTATCTTGCTCTAGTACAAAGTTTACTAACCTATTGCATTACTAGTTGAAGTGGGGCTGCTAAAGGTAATTTTATTCTTATAGAAAGAGCGCAAACAGCTTTACTAAAGGTTGCCTGTGTTAGAAAAAAAATCATATTTGTGTCTACTAATTACTAGATTCTATTATAAAGATGTTAAACTTCTATGAAATTGAAAAGCATAATTTTAGTAAACCAAATTTATTTCCATTAGAGGGTAGTACAAAATTAGATGTACATAGTAAAAATTATTTGCGATCTAATTTTAAAAACAAAATGAAAAGCAGTACTTTCAAAAACATGACTCAGTTTTAATTTATAAAGTTGGTACAATACAATATTGTTTGTAATTTAGTTGTAGTAAAAAAAAT